CAGGGTGGGGCTCCCATGATGAGAGTGGTGGCATTATAAGAGGAGGAAGAGAGACCTGAGGTGACATGCACACTCCTAGCAAGAAGGCCCTCAGTCAGATGTGGACCCTCAACCTTGAACTTTCCAGCCTGCAGAACCGTAAGAAATACATTTCATTTCTATATAAATTACCCAGTCTGTGGTATTCTGTTACAGCAGCAGAAAATGCTATACCGAGCAAAGCCTATGCATTTTCCTCTGAGCATTGCCTTCCCTAGGTCCTGTAGCTTCTGATGTGGAGTACTTTCATTATCATTGTTCTCTAAAACTCTGCAGTTTTGGTTTCTTTTCACCATTGGACGCAAGGAGCTAAGAGAGTTTTTCAGTTTCCAGGTAGAGGGGAATTTCTGTTTTCTGATTTTGTTAGTGATGTTTAGTTTTATTCCTTTGATATCAGGGAACATTATCTATATTATATCTTCTCTTTAGAATTTATCGAAGTTTTCTCTGAGCTTAACATATAGTTGATTTTCCCAAATGCTTCATGGGTACTTGAAAGAAAGGTATACAAAGTTCTATCTGTCTATCTGTCTGTCTGTCTACCTATCTGCCTATCTGTCTACTTCATGGGTACTTGAAAGAAAGGTATACAAAGTTCTATCTGTCTATCTGTCTGTCTGTCTATCTATCTGCCTATCTGTCTATCTATCTATCTATCTGTCTGTCTGTCTCGGTACTTGAAAGAAAGGTATACAAAGTTCTATCTGTCTATCTGTCTGTCTGTCTACCTATCTGCCTATCTGTCTATCTATCTATCTATCTGTCTATCAGATCTACCTTTTTGAGTATGTGGTTTAGGTCTTTTAGTTACTTCTCTTAAGTGTTTGTTCAATTAAGCTTCTTGAACTAAAGAAGGTGAATTAAAGTCCACCCTCCCAAATGTTTCTATATATTTCTCCTCATATCTCCTGTAATTTCTGCTGCATGTAACTTGATGCCGGAGAACACCCTCAGGCGGAGGAGAGAGGCCTGGGTGCTTATGATGGGAAACTGTCAGTATGTGATGGGGAACTGTCCACAGCTGCCGGTGAACTCAGGTGCACCAAAGGGCCATGGGGTGCGCTGCTACATATCCTCGTCTACGAGAGGGGAAGGAGTGGGGCTGCAGCTCTGAACCTGGAGCCTACCATACCTCTGGGCTTCTCCTTTGTGATTCCCTTGGATCTGTCATTCTCCATGATTTGGCTCAATTGTCAGGTTCTTGGAAAGATGGCTGCAGCACTTCTTGGGGTCACGTTCAGATTGCTATGGTCTGAATGTGTCCCCCCCAAATTCATATGTTGAAATGTTAACCCCCCAATGTGACAGTATTAAGAGGTGGGACTTTCAGGAGGTGATTAGGTCATGAGGGTGGAGCCCTCATGAATGGGCTTAGTGCCAACATAAAAGCAGCCCAAGGGAGCCTGTTCACTCCTTCCATCATGTGCACACATGGCGGGAAGGCGCCGTCTGTGAGGAAGAGAGCCCTCACCAGACACCAAATCTGCTGGAGCCTTGATCTTAGAGTTTGCAGCCTACAGAAGCATGAGAAATAAATTTTTGTTGTTTATAAGCCACCAAGTCATTGGCATTTTTGCTATTGCAGTCTGAATGGACTAAGACAGAGACCTAACAATTTCCACAGGAAAAATAAGAACCACCCCTCCCTGCATCTACTTCTTAGGAGAAAGAAAACTTTTCTCCGAAGCACCTAGCATAATTTGCACGTCTCACTGGCACTGATTGGATGGTATTGTCATCTTTTTTTTTTTTCATTTGCTGGCAAGCAGAATAGTAGAATCATGATTAGCTTGAACTGATCATTGTGGGCGACAACAGGTGTTGAAGTTGGCTACTTATAACTACTCCTTTGTCCTCCTCACAGAGAGAAGATAAAATGCTTATAGCGCAAAGGTGGGGTCATTCCAAATCCACTGAGGATAAATAGTCACTTTCATGATATGAGTCAATAATTCTATTCTAGTCCAGTCTAATCTAGTGCATGGAACCAGGGTGTCTGTGTGTGGAGGAGGAGGGGCCACCTAATGGAGAGGATAATATCCACCATCCCAAAATGCTGTCGTCCGTCTAGACCGAGTTAAGGGATAGGACCCAGGGGTGGAAGTGAGATGCAGTGTCAGCTGAGGAATAAATACAGAATAAGTGGTAGGTACTCATGAGTTTAATTCACTGTGCTGGGCTCACGCAGAAGACTTTGATTCTGCTTTCTGGGTTGTCTCATGCAAACCTGGGCCAGATGCTAGCCTGTGATAAATGACATTGAGGGGCTAAAGCCCACTGGCATAACGTAGAGGAAAAAGTTAAAAGCTTCTGGACATGAGAATACTGTGTTGGATCTATCGTGAGCATCCCACCCATTCACTCCCTAACTTTGCCCTCCCAATAAACTAAAACATCTGTCCTATAACCCTTGCCTCGGGGAATTGCCGAATGAGGGAAGCATCAGCAGCTTTCAAAAGCACTTCTGCTGGCCGTTCTCACTAGACTGAGGATGTCAATAAGGTGCCATTAAAATGGACTCCCTGATTTGCAGCATGTGCATGAGGTCGGTGGAGGGGTGGGGGCAGCCTGGAATAAATGAGTCCAGGTGGTGGCAGTTAACATCAGCAGCAACGTGGGTATTATTAGCATAACATACAACTAGGGCTCATCTGGCATGCTGTTATTAACTAAATTGCATCCACCACCCAAATTCATCTGTTGAAGCCCTAACCCCTAATGCATTTGGCAATAGGCCTTTAATGGAGGTAAAGTTAAATAAGGTCATAAGGGTGGAGACTTTCTATGGTTTGAACAATGGTGTCTCCTCCAAAATTCATGTTGAAACTCAATCCCCATGGTGGTGATGTTAAGAAGCAGGGCCTTTGCGGAGGTGATTAAATCATGAGGGCTCTGCAGAAACCAACCCTGCTAGCACCTGGATCTTGGACTTCCAGTCTGTAGAACTGTGAAAAAATAAATGTCTGTTGTTTAAGCCACCCAATCTGGAGTATTTTGTTATGGCAGCCTGAGAAGACTAGTACATATACATAGATCTCTGGCTATGTATAATTAAGTTTGGAGTTTCCAGAAATGAAATCTACCAAAATGATTCTTAGGTCTGGTTGACAGAGGCGCTTGGCAGTTGAGTCATCACACTAGCCTAACAGCTCACATACAGTACCCAGGCATTAATCATTAATTACACAGACCCAGGGCCCCTAGAATGGACGGAAGACCAGGCAAACCTGAGGGAGAAATTTGCTATAACACTTGTGAACTACCCCTTGGTCTTACCCCGAAAGCACCTGCACCCACTGACCGTGGCAACTTGCAGGGGGAAGGATAGCCCAAGCCTTTCAGAAACTAACTGGAAACTGAGTTTAAGTTAAGAATGCTAGTGCCAGTGGACCCAGAACCCCCTGCAGTAGCGCTTACCTCAGAGGTGAGTGAGTGCGTATGGAGGTGAGAGGAAAATGAAATTCTTTTCTGAGTCTGTGACTTGATAGGCCCAGTGAGACCCTGAACCCCTCCTCTGGGATTATTCCACCAGTTCCTGGATATGCTTAGCGTCAGGCAGCATCTGCACATTGCTTTCAGGCTTATGGCGTGCACTTTTTCTTGTTGTCGTTAATGTTCAGCCTTACAGCATCCCACACTGTGGCCGAGCACCCCCTCAGACACGGACATTTGGGTCTCCTTTTAGAACCACCAGACATCCAAGTCCCCAGTGTCCTCTCGAGGTGGAGTGTTCCTCGTCTGGCTGGTAGCTGTCAGGGTGCCCTGAGGTTCTGTTACTTCCTCTACATGGTGTCATGAAACACCGTAAAGTCATCTTATGCTCCCTCTGAAGAATGCAGAGAGAAGGCATGGCGTGGGAGGTTGCCCCCATCCTTTTCTTGGTAGTTCTCCCATATCATGATCCCTACTCGCCCTGCTGGAACAGGCACGCCTCCTGACTTCCGAAATCTCCAGGCAGAGACAGGTGCCAGTCTCCTAAATGTGGCCACATTGGCTACCTGGCCCCTGAAGAAAGGGGTCTTCGGGTAAGCCGGGGGCAAATGGCAGCTATCAGACCTCTCTCTCCTTATCAGCATAGGACATAAATGCAACAGGATATTTTTATGGGAACTGCAGAGAATTTTGTCATTTTCCAACACATGGAAAATGTAGCTGTTATTCCTAACATATGCAGGTTAGTGTGGATCCACAGCTAAAACAAGGCTCTCCAGCTGGTGTAGTCTACCATCTAGCAGGTTTACCCTTTGACCCTTACCATCTAGCAGATCCAGTGGTGCCCACAATGTCTGGAGTAAGTCAGGATGCTATATGGAGCCTGTGGCTTGCAAGCCCTGATAGAATCACAGTGGAGGCTGCTAGGATGTAAAATATATACCATGAACCAGCAACCAATATGTAGAGCTTTACTCCTGCTGCCGAGATTTGCAAGTCTGGGAACAGAGGAGTGAAAATAAAGGCGGCGACCCTCATAATTACACCCAAACCATCTACAACAGTTTTACTTCTCGTACCTGCAGCTCTGATCTCTGCTGGCTTAGAGGTTTTAGTTTCCTAGGAGAAAACACTTTCAGGATGGAAAAAAATAATTGTTCCACTGAATTTGAAGCCACTCGTAGCCCCTGGAGCCACTCAGAAAGGGTGATTATATTGTTCATTGTATACAATAAAGATGGGGAGAAATACAGATGCTTAGGTACACTAAGGTACCGTCTTATACAACAGTCCCGAGAGGGTACGTTACAGAGTACTGCGACCCTACAAAGGACTACCAAGGGCTCATTCTCCTCAGGAAGAAAGGATTGGGCCTCCCCAGTGGGAAAATCAAAGGGATTGTGGAATTGATGGAGAAGTGACAAATAACGGGACCACTTCATGGCTGTGTGCAGAAATGAGGCCTGTACCCTCTATCTGTATTTTCCTGCTTATTGTCTTTCTTTTTTAAGAAAAAAGCTTCTCTCATCTCTCCTTTACTTATATCTTTATTATTCTTCATAACACTTCTTTAGTAGTATAAGTAGGACAGAGTGGTGGTGGTAAATTCAGCATTTAGGTCATGGAGTTGTGGAATACCACGTTGGGATGATGGCAGAACTAGGGAAAGAAGAGACATCACTGGGAGAACTGAAACTACAGAGGTCCCATGACCTCACCTCTGAGTATGGCAGCCGGAAGTGTTTGTATGTGTTGCCTCTCTTTGGGTAGCTCCTGGCTGCATGAGGAGTAATTCAATTATGCCAGGAGGGAGCCTTTTCAAAATCTTATGAATGGAAGAAGGGCGTTCGTACATGCTGGGAATACATGGAGTAGAAGGTAACTATTGTCTGTATTACTTTTCTGTCTACCTAACATCCCCTCTTTTGGGGAACTGATTAAAATCACAGGGCTTCACTTCTCCAGACCACAGGACTACTTGGAGTAGAAATACAGGTGACGGACAGACATTAGTACTCAGTAAAAGTCCCCAAATATTAGATATCCTTACTTGTCCTGGAGCCTCCACCTTTTAGGACTTTGGTTACCTTACCCCAAATCATTCAGATTCTTTGGCTCAACAAATTGTGGCTTATGAACCTGGCCTCTAGGTTTCCAAGCATTTTTCAGGAAGGGTTTGAAGTGAAGCTGTTGGATTTGCAGTCAAACTGCCCAAATTGGGGACTTGTAAGACATGCCTTGAAGGATGGAATGTTTACAACTCTGTGCCCACTCCCACCCCTGTACTGGAGGATGGAGTTCTAGAGACAGTCTCTCTGAGTTGCTGGAGAGTGGGGTCAATGTCAGTCGTCATTCAGGTGACCAGAACCCGTCTGAATCTGAAGGCAGTCACAAAACTATGCCCAAGGAAGAGGCCAAGGGTGCCCAGGCTGTAGACTGGTCTGAGGGAAGTCCAGGGCCTGGAACCTGCATCTGTGCCTGTAAAGTCCTAAGTCTGGTCATATCAGGAGAAAACCTGGAGGGAAGGAAAGAGGAAATGATAAAGAGTCAAGGTCGAACAAGAATTCTCCTTTGATCCAGCATGTAAGAGAGGGGCTCCCTCCCATTTGGTGCTTTCTGAGAATTGCACCTCTAGGTAAGTCTGAGTTAAAGAACATTTTCTGTTGCTCTAAAGTGTGTTAGCTGTGCTCAAGTGCATCTAACTCTGCAATTAAGCCTATGCCAAGAGTTGCTAGAAACATCCAGGTCACGAAGGTCTGAAAATCATGGAAGAGAGCAGGTGGATAAATCTGGTGATGCTGTAGTTTCACTGGCTGTCTTGCCCCTTTTGGGGTGGGGGCGTGTAGGATGAGAGAAATTACACCTGCTGGGATTTAGAGGAAACGATTTGAAAAGTGAAATACAAAACCAAATGCCTGTGCTCTGTGCAAGTTAAAATATTAAAATGTGAGTCACTGTTTAAGGATGTGTATATGGGTATTTGAATTTTCTTTGTTAATGGGTAAAATGCTGTGTTTTCCCCAAGTAGAAAGTGATATTTAATTATTTACGGTTTCCACACTGAAACCAATTCGTTTTTACTTGAGTGCTTGTTATAAAGAATGCTTCTGTTTTTCATTAAGAGCAATTTCTTTTGTTAGAATTCCAGTCTTCCTTAAGTGACTGTGAGTTCACTGACCCCCCACAGTGCGATGGTGCAAGTGCTAAGGAGCAGCCAGCCGTGAGGCTGCAGCAATAGAGCGTCTAGCCCTGGTTTCCCCAAATTCCAGCATCCATGGCACCTCCTCGGACCACTAATTATGCAATAAAACTTTAAAGGATGCTGCAAAATTTCTTAAATAAATATACAATGAATGTCTCATATTAGTAGGAAGAGTGATTGGTGTTATTTCATCACTCTGCCACTATACTTCTCCGTGTTTGTGTCCTCTCCTGAAAATGGTGGGTAACAGTAGTCCCTATGTCAGGGTTGTTGTGAGAATTAAATGAAATGATGTAGATAAAGTGCTTTGCATGGCGTATTGTAAGTGTGCGGTAAGGTTTTCAGTTATTATTATTTCTCTATAACTCAGTTGAGTGTGTGAATGTATGTATGTAATATATATTACCCTCTGTAGTGGACTGAATTTATGTCCCCCCAAAACTAATTGAAGCTTGAATTATATTCCCCAAGTTTTATGCATTAGAAACTTAGCCCCCGCTGTGACTGTTGAGAGGGTGGGAAATCCTATTATGGTAACTGAAAGGTGGGGCCTTGAAGAGGTGATTGGATTGCAGGACCATGCCTTAGTAAATGGATTGAAAATGGTGGTCATGGGCGTGCTTCTGAGGGCTTTAAAAGAAGAGGAGAGTCTGCCTTTTGCTCTCTCTGCTTCCACCACCTTGCAATGTGAGACCCCTGGGTCACTGTCACCACCACCAGATGGACTTCGGGCTTCCCAGCCTCAGAAACTGTACAATAAATGTTGTTTTCCTTTATAAATCACCCAGTTCCATGTATTTTGTTATGACCAACAAAAACGGACTAATACACCCTCTGGCTCGACAACTTGAGTCATTAGGTGACTTCATATGTATTAAACTCATTCCACATTGATCAAATATATTTCCTTATTGTTTTTAATGGCCACATAGTGTCCCATTACATAAATGTGCTATTTTTTTTTGTCCTTTTTTTTTTTTTTTGAGACCGGCCGCACTGCGCTCAGCCAGTGAGCACTGTGAGCACACCGGTCATCCCTATATAGGATCCGAACCCGCGGTGTGAGCGCTCCTGCACTCCCAGCGCTGCACTCTCCCGAGTGCACCACGGGCTCGGCCCTAAATGTGCTATTTTTATTTAACCAAACTTCTTCTGTTGGACATATAGGTTTTTCCCACTGTTTTACTGTTATGATCAATAGCAAAATGTAAAGCCCTTGTATAGACATCACGGGACCCTTGTCCAATTCCTAAGGTTTGAAAACTAATCACAGTTTTGTTTTGTTTTTATCTGAACTATGACATTCCATAGATTTGTTCATGCAACATTTCATAGCATGAGGAAGCTCTGGGCTATTTGAAGACTGGCCATTTTTATTTTTAAAGCATTTCCGTATAGTCTGTGGTCTGCTTGGAAAGCAAGGAGTTTAAAAGGTTACGGAAATCACATTTAGTGTGATCATTCAGGAACATTTTAGGATATACATACATTATTGCAGAAAGATAGGAAGGCACATGTTTTAACTCAGAATTTACCTGAACTCAAGTGCCACTCCCAACCCTCCACCCCCAAATTTCCTTCTAAATGCAGTAAATTCATCTCCAATAAGTTTTCATTTTTACTCAAAGCAATACATGCATATAGTTTAAACAATCAAATGCTACAAAAGGACATATAATGAAAATCAGTAAATCCCACTATTCCATTTCTTTCCCTCTGCCTGCCAACCTGCTCACGGTACTTGTGCACTGTCCAAGTTGGTAACATTTCCATTCTATTCTGTAACCATCATTATTTGAATGCTTTGCCTTGAGGTTTGCTCCAAAAACTGAAAACCACAACTGCTATTTACATTACAATGATTATTTAAATAGCGTTCACTGAATAGCAAGGCTGAGTGCCATGATTGGATTTTCTCACCTGTGACTCCAGAGTCTCGATCCACACGCCAGTATTCAAACAGATTCCCCTTCTCACAGTCTGGCAACTGTTCAAAACCATGCAACAGCTGAGATTGCTTGATGTTTGAAGCATGATTTTCTTGTACAGTTTGAAATGCTTGTTTTTCCCTGTAGTTTGTTTTATCATTGTTTTTTTCTTCGGGGATGAGGAAATGTATGCCTTCCACATCATGCTATTAATTTCCTCCAAGTTCTTACTCAGTCCAGCAATTGCTTAGAATTCATTCCATTCACTTGGAAGTCTATTCACTTGTATGCTAATTTAGAGAGTGTGCCTGCTATTTGGACCATTCTTGTACAGTTTATCTTTCCTTAAGTTTTTAGTTACACTTCCCCCTTTATTTTTTCATAATGTATCCTGTGCCGTTCGTCATTTCCCAAAGTTCATGCTATTTTTTGTTTCATGGAAATGGATGCCAGAATTTCTCAAGTATTTGAGAAATTTTCAAATTTTTAAGTTCTTTTCTGTTTCTTGAATTATCTGTTTTCTTGGGAGTCAACCTTTCGTTTGATGTCAGGCTTTTTCGGTTATATCGCAGGCTTTTTGCAGATGCTGTTTTTAGTTCTACTATAGGATGGGGCAGTGGTAGGACCGGCGAGTCTGCGTGCGTGAGCGGAGCTGGTCTCTTTGTTGTAGGCTGGGTGAGCGGGTGGGTAGAAATCAGCCCTTCTGCCCGGGGTTGTGGGGCGGCGGCGGGGG